AATAACAGAAATGAAGGAAAATGCACAGGGAACCAATAGTGATGGAAACAAAACTGGGTTTCAAATCAATGGAAGGGACCAGAAGGAGGAAAGGAACAACCAAACAGAAAAGAATGAAGAAATAAGAATTCAAAAAAATGAGGAGAGGCTTAGGGACCTCCAGGACATCTTTAAACATTCCAACATCCAAATTATAGGGGTACCAGAAGGGGAAGAGGAAACACAACAAGTGGAAAAGTTATTTGAACAAATAATAAAGGAGAACTTCCCCAATCTGGCAAGGGAAATAGACTTCCAGGAAGTCCAGGAAGCTCTGAGAGTCCCAAAGAGGTTGGACCCAAGGTGGAACACCCCAAGGCACATCATAATTACATTACCCAAGGTAAAAATGAAGGAGATAATCCTAGAAGCAGCAAGAGATAAGGGGACAGTTACCTACAAAGGAGTTCCCATCAGAATGCCAGCTGATTTCTCAAAAGAGACCTTACAGGCAAGAAGGGGCTGGAAAGAAGTATTCCAAGTCAGGAAAGGCAAGGACCTACATCCAAGATTGCTCTATTCAGCAAAGCTTTCATTTAGAATGGAAGGGGAGATAAAGTGCTTCTCAGATAAGGCCAAGTTAAAGGAGTTCATCATCACCAAGCTCTTATTATATGAAATGTTAAAGGGACTTATCTAAGAAAAAGAAGATAAAAATATGAACAGTAAAAAAAGACATCAAACTCACAGTTAGTAATAACCATACCTAAGACAAAAGCAAACTAAGCAAACAAATAGAACAGGAGCGGAAGCACAGAAATGGAGATCACATGGAGGGTTAGCAACAGGGAAGTGGGAGGAGGAGAGAGGGGGAAAAGATATAGAGAATAAGTGGCATGGACAATAGGTAGAAAATAGACGGGGGTGGGCAGGAATAGTGTGGGAAATGTAGAAGCTAAAGAACTTATGACACATGGACATGAACTAAGGGGGGGAATGTGGGTGGGAGGGGGTGGGCAGGGTGGAGGGGAGTGAAGGGGGAAAATGGGACAACTGTAATAGCATAATGAATAAAATACATTAAAAAAAGAAAAAAGAAAAGAAAATAAATAAAAGAAAAAAATAAAAGAAAAATAAAAGAAAAAAATAATCCTAAAAACACAAATTCAATGCTATATGAAACAATGCATAATCCTAATTTATTCCTAACCCTAATAAGCTAAGAATTCATTTACAAAATAGAATTAAACTCACAATATTTAAAGCTTAAGACATAAAGTTAGAAAATTATAAACAAATTAGTTCTATGGGACCATTACAATATTATCTATTTTATCTACCTACCTACCTATCTGTGCTTTGTGCTGAAATGGAAGCTTTGGCTCTTGAATTTCTTAAAGGTGTCTCTGATGTAAATGCAATTTTTTCCAGACAATACCATGGCTAAAATACATTCTTAGCAAGGGACTGAGTTCAGCTATGTCCCTTTATACAGCTTTCTTTTCTTCCTTCAGGCGTTGACAGTGTATTCCTTGGACTAAGTGACCTGGCCCTGTTCACTGATGACACTGGAGCTTTCTAGTCAGGAAACTCTTTGCCCCAGGGATGTATAAATTAACCTTGCTTAGCTCTCATGTGGTCCTCTCATGCCTCACAAGCATGCTGTGGTGTGGTTTTTACAAAAGGATTTTGATTGATAGAGAGAGGGAGAGAAATCACCTTCCTTATTTTAACACTTCACCCTTATAATTTGAGTCCAAGTTGAATGAAATGTTTTCAGTTTTGTTCTGTCTACTTAAGTTACTCTGTAGCCATAGGCTTTGCACCTGAGGTTATGACTGTTAGATAAACCAACAGGAGAGATGGCGGAGGTGAAAAGTGATGGGTCGTGGATCATTTTGGCACTACCACTATTCATAGTTACTCTGTTATCCATCATTACCGCCCCCCCCAGCTGTGTGACAGTCACAAGTGTCATCATTTACCACCTCCCTTACTGTGATGGAGGCCTCGTAGTGTGCATAGAAACAAATGCCTTTTTAAAGTTAGGTTGCTGTAAACAGTCTTCATATTAGGTATTGTCCTTAATGCCCCTCTCTATGTTTAATTCTCTGATGGCAAATTTTCAGAGAAGAATGTGCACATTTTTTTTAATAGAATTATTTTTTTTAAAGATTTATTTATTTATTTATTTATTTAGAGGGGGAGAGAGAGAGAGAGAGAGAGAGAGAGAGAGAGAGAGAGAGAAACATCAATGTGCGGTTGCTGGGGGTTATGGCCTGCAACCCAGGAATGTACCCTGGCTGGGAATCGAACCTGGGACACTTTGGTTCCCAGCCCGCGCTCAATCCACTGAGCTACGCCAGCCAGGGCTAGAATGTGCACATTTTTGTTTATGACTCTGAGATTCCAGGATTGCCAATTGAAATACTTTCTAAAATATTAGCCAAACAACTATCTTTATCATAGTATGTAGATGATTCTTAGAATTAAAATAAATAAAAATTAAAATTATATACTTATAATCTGTTACAAACAAGACAGCAAGCCCCAAATGAAGTCACCTAAGCTCCACATTGCTTGACTGAGATTTAATGATGATTTCAGCTTTCTCAGAAATGGAACCCTAAGCCAGTCAGTCAGGAATCACCTTGGTACTGGTCTGAAGTCCATGTGCCTGATGCTTGAAAAGGCCAAAACTCAACACATCAGAGCTGGGGAAAGGAAAGGTTTGAGCAGGTGCCAGCTGAGAAGATGGGAGCTTTGGTGGAGTCTCAAATCCATCTCACCAGGGTTCAGGCTTCCTTTACGTCAAAGGGAGGCGGAATGGGAGGGGTGTGTTTGTAAAACTCAAGCGGAAGCAGAATTCCTCTAATGGTTAGAAGCTGTTAGCCTGAAGGTCATGGGACCAGAGCAGCCTGACAAGATGGAGTCAGACAGAGACCCAGCATGTCACTCTGTCACCACCGGGTGAGCACGTGGCTGAGCTGCCTGAGAGGCCCTGGCCACCCTGGAAAGGAAAGCAGCCTTGCAATAACCAAACCAATCCACTTGGTTTTTTTTGCCTAGTATAATGTCCTTGTTCCCACTTCTTGTTGCCTATAAAGGCCTTTCATTTTGTAGGGGTCCTCAGCGCTCCCTTCTATCTGCTAGATCGGATGCCGCTTGATTCAAATAAATTTTTGCTCAAATAAACTCATGCTTTTTAATATGCCCCAGTTTCTCTTTCAACAAGTCTCACCATCCAGAGCTAACCACAGGTAAGCACACACATAAGAAAACTTGGTGTACAGCACTCCAGACTGTGTTCTGTGCATTGACACACACGGAGCCACACCACACACACTGTTTTATAATCTCTTTCTTTTACATTTTTATTGTATTTTTTCCATTGCCATAGCCTCTTTATACCCCCTTCCCTCCACATGCACCACACTGGTGCGCATGTCTCCATGAGTCCTTTTACTTTTGCTTGATCCCTCTATGCCCTAAACTACCCACCCCCTTAGCTGTCTTCCTGCTCTCCATGAATTGGTCTCTATTTTGCTTGTTAGTTCAGTTTGTTCATTGGTTTCCACATATGAGTGAAATCATCTGGTATTTGTGTTTTCTCTCACTGGCTTATTTCACTTAGCATAATGTTCTTATTTTTACTTTATAGCATAACATGGACATTACCATATCAATGAATACAGAAAAAAATTTACATGACTGCTTTATATGAATGCCACTGTAGTGTATTTCAGAAAGGTATTCTGTCTTGAATGACAAAACTAACCAAATTTAATGATTACAGCAGCTAAAAAGAGGTCTGGCTCTACTTCCTTCCAAATAATGGAATTAGCATAATTTGACTGAAACTCTGACATAATTAATCCAGATCCTTGATTACTGTTTGGATTCAACCTGTTTTCATAAGAAAGACTTCTGTCTCTCCCCAACAAAGTCCCCACCTCCGACTAGTAGTAGAGCTGTATTCTTAAACTGTTTCTGTAAAATTGGCTTTGGACAGACTGTCTTGCCTTCTAGTTCTAGTTCCACCACTTACTAGTTTTGTGAGGTTAACTCTCTGAACCTCAGTTTCCTCATTGTAAAATGGGGTTGGTAATAACTATCTCATAGACTTGTTGTTTTATTATATATGATGGTGTGCACTATGTTTTATAAATTGTAATTATTATTCAAATTATTGTAAATACTTTTTTCCCTCCAAAAGTCCTAATAAAAAATTTGACTCAGAAATATTTACTATTTATTTGCATTCAGTCTTTACTTAAAGCATACTTTTCACCAAATCAATACTAAATAGTCTTGGAATCACAGCCAGTGAGACTAAAGTCTTTTTTTCTTTAAAGATTTTATGTATTTATTTTTTAGAGAGAGGGGAAGAGAGGAAGCAAGAGAGAGAGAGAGAAACATTGATATGAGAGAGAAACATCGATCGGTAGCTTCTTACACAGGGATCGAACTGCAACCTAGGTCCGTTCCCTGAACCAGAATCAAACCCACAACTTTTTGGTGCACGGATGACACTCCAACCAACTGAGCCAGGTGAGAAGGGATATATTTGAAAATTTTTAGAGGGGAAGGGAAGGAAACATCAATCAGTTGCCTCTCACTTGCCCTCAACTGGGGACCTGGCCCACAATCCAGACATGTGCCCTGACTGGGAATCAAACTGGTTCTCAGGCTGGCACTCAATCCTCAGCACTCAGTCCACTGAGCCACACCAGCCAGGGCAAGGGGAGGGATATATTTTAACAAACAAAAACTGTTACTATTTATTTAGCAATCTTATGGTGTAGATAGTATCTTGGGTTCTGTTGCTGAGCACATTTTTAGTAAGGACTAAAACAAATAGGGGAGGAAATAGGAAACCAACAAGAATAAGGAAAAGTTACCAGGAAAAATAAAAAGAAAGAATGCAGTTTAAACTTGACCTAAGCTTTGGGGAATTTCTTATCCCACAAAACATAAGCAGTTTGTATTTGTCTTTAGTCAACTCAACTTTTTTTTTTCAGATTGATGGTTACCCAGAATTTTTGAGTCCACAAGATAGAGAAACTAACCAACACATTCATATAGTCTATTCACCTCTTTTGAAAAAGAGTGCGAAAAATCAAAAGTTCCCAGGAAATTTTTGTTACCATTTCATCACACCAATGCTAACAACGAAAAAGGTATGTAATATATTTCTTAAAGTAACACAGGAAAAGATACTTTTCTTTATGAGACAAAAAAAGATAATGTTCTTTTTTCCTCCCCAGCTTTACTGAAGTATGATTAACAAATAAAAATTGTATATAGTTAAGGTATAGAGTGTGCTGTTTTGATATCTGTATACATTGTGAAATGGTTACCACAATCAGGCTAGTTAAGATACCCATCACCTCACACAGTTGTGTGTGTGCGTGGTGAGAACACTTGAGATCTACTTTCTTTGCAAGTTTCAAGTATATGGTGTAATGTACTATTATTAACTGCAGTGACCATGCCGGGCATTTTGGTCTCCAAAGCTTAATTATCTTATACTGCAAGTTTGTTCCCTTTGACCAACATCTACCATGTTTCCACCCCCCTAAGTCCCTAGTAACCATCACTCTGCTCTCTGTTACTATAAATTTGCCTTTTTTAAGATTCCACATAGGTGAGATTATACAGTATTTGTCTTTCTGTGCTTGACTTATTTTACTTAGCATATCTTTCAGGCTCATCCATGTTGCGGCAAATGACAGGATTCTTTCTTTTTTAAGACTGGATAATACTGCATTTTGTGTGTGTACCACAAAATACAATTCATCTGTTTATCCATTCATCTGTTGCTGGACACTTAGGCTGCTTCCATGTCTTGGCTACTGTAAATAATGCCACTGTGAATATGGGAGTGCAGATATCTCCTTGAGATAGTGATTTTAGAGCCCTCCTTCCCAGCATGGCACAGTTGGCCAACATCACTAAGCGAATCTCCTACAGCTGGAAATGCTCCAGAACCAGCTGGACCAAGAAGTGGGGTTCTTCTCCACATCCACTGCTCAGCTCAGGGTGGTACAAACCAAGTATGTGGAAGCCAGGGACTGTCTAAACATGCTGAACAAGAGCAACAATGGGAGAGAATTATTCGTCCCATTGATGAGTTCTGTGTGTGTCCCTGGGAAGTTACATGATGTGGAACACATGCTCATCGATGTGGGAACTGGCTACTATGGAGAGAAGACAGCTGAAGATGCCAAGGACTTCTTCAAAAGGGAAACAGACTTCCTCACCAAGCTGATGGAGAAAATCCAGCCAGCCCTGCAGGAGAAGCGCCGTGAGTCAGGCTGTCATGGAGATGAGGAGCCAGAAGATTCAGCAGCTCACAGCCCAGGGGCAACTTGGGCTGCCAAGGCTTAAGACCTTGTTTTGGAAATCTGGCAGAGGGACCCTACCTCAGGGGCCTGGGACTTTGTGGTGGGGAAGATTAGGATTTTGTGTGTAATGCTGATAAATGTTCCAGGTGGGGGAAAAAAGAGTGATTTTATTTCCTTTGCATATATACCCAGAAGTGGGATTGTTGAATTATATGGTAGTTTTATTTTAAATTTTTGAGGGGCCTCCAATACCAGTTTCCAGAATGACTATACATTCCCACCACCAGGGCACATCCTTGCCAACATTTATTTCTTGACTTTATCATAACACGAAGTCATCTGAACAGATGTGATGCTTCACTGTGGCTTTGATTTGCAATTCCCTGATGATTAGAGACATGGAGAAGATCGTGGTCTTTACAATGAGGATGAGCTGACCAATCCATCAGCAGCAGCATGGTGCCAGGGCATAGTCTGCCATGAATAAGGATCTGTAGAAAGGAAGGGAAGAAAGAAAAGGATGGAAGGAAATGAGGGAGGGAGGGATGGGTGGGAAAGAGAAGAAGAAAGAAAAAAAAGAAGAAGAGTGATGCGTGGGTCCCCGGCCAGCAGTGACCACGGAACGCTGTGGGTGGCTCAACGAAAACATGCGAGAAAAAACACACATGCACAGAGACAAACTAGTTTCTGTGGGGAAGTAGGGACGAAATGGCCACCCCCTCTAGTGGGGAGCGCACGGATTTACAGTCCATACCTGCTTTTATTGGGCTCATTTTGCATAATAATTCAGGTAAAGTACAGTACTCATTAGTGGGAAGTAAGGAACCATAGAAAACAAAGAACTCTGCCTGTCTATTGAGTCGGGGTCAAAGAGCTGTAAGACTGAGGAACAAATTAACTTCCTCCTAAGACCCTTCTCATTCAACTGAGAGCATTCTAAACAAAGAAGGTTTCACAGTAATTTACATGTTCTTTCTTAGGCCTGATCACCCCGGGGAATCGGGGAATCCGCACTTCTCAGTACAGAGCTGCACCACCCTGTCATTGTTTCAGGCTTAGGTGGAGACAGGGAACTAAGGCAACTGGGAGACAAGGAGGTTTTTTCCCAGACGCTGAGAACTCAGGCTATGTCAAAGCCGAGGAGCGAGGGTCCATCACCCCCTTTTGCTGCAGCCCCCCAAGTCCTTCTTTTGGGGGGTCCCCCAAAGTGATCGTGCCTGTATTAGGTCATTCCCCCCATGGGGAATCTTACCCGTCTTTGGCTAACCGACCAAGCTTTTTGGGGTTCAGTTATGAATAAAGCAGCAGAAGCAGCATTCCTGCCAGGAAGATAAGCTTTTGTCTCCTCCTGGCTTACGGTTCCAAGGGCGTTCCCTTAGCCTTAGCCTAGGCGGGGGTTTCAACTTCTGATACCAGTCAGGGTGGTTCCCAACAGAAGAGTGTTCACTAAATATTGGTTTTTAAAAAATGAATTAGAATTTGCATTCCATTTAGTTGGTTCTTGTTTGATTTTAACAATCTTATTAACACCATAGACTTGAATGAAAAAACCTAGTGAGGATGTGCGGGGGTGACGGGAAAGACTGTGCCCCTGGCTCAGGGAAAACTCCCGCAGTCTTCGCTCTGGACCTTCTCACCTGCAAGGGAAGCCACAAAGTCCTGCCCTGATTATTATGGTTATTAACAGTATTCACTCAGAAGTATTTGTTGGGAATCTGTTCATCCAAGAATGATGATACATACCTACATAAAAAGATTTTTAAAAATCACCTTCATATTTTGTGTTTAGAGAGCTCCACAATGGATACAGGCAATTTTCCTGCTGTACCTAAGGGGCTAGAAAATCAGTAGCTGGGTGGGGAGGATGAGGAGTCAGGGGCTCACCTGGCTCAGCCGAAGCTGCCCTGCTCTTGTTTCACATTTGGGGCTTTGCCTACATGTTTCTTGTGAATTTGTTTTTAAAACTGAAAGATGAATGGATGAAAAAAAGAGTGCAGTTCAACATTACAGTGTTTCCTTTCAAGGTTTTCTTTTACATACATGTATATAAAAGATATATGTACATAAAGGAACCCTTTAGGGTATTGATCCCCATATTTAGTTGTTGGTAAAAAGCAGAGAAAAGAGCGTGGACTTTGGATTCTGAAACCTGGCTCTCACCTTTCCTGGCTGTGCGACCTTCTGCAAGTCACTTAACCTTTGTGAGCCCCAGTTTTCTGGTCTTTGCTATCTTCACAGGGTTGGTGTATTCCAGGAAACAAGGCAGGCAGGGCTGGGCACACAGTGGGAAAGCAGCTAAGACCTCAACTGTAGTGCAGAAGGTGAAGGGAAGAATGAGGTCCAAGGTGGCTGGCTGCTGGGTAGAGGCCCTTCCATTTCTGGCATCTGCCCAGGGCAGCCCGGCCATCTCGCCAAGCCCATTTCCTCCTCTCTGGACTCCACTCCAAGGCAGACTCACAGCCTCTTCAGTACTGAACAGGCACAAAGTGTGAGCAAATTGTGCAGTGTTTGTACACTCACAGACGAGCACTTTTCCACGCTGACACTCTGTGGCGTGGCAACTGTCTATAGAAGCTGTCATGATGAGCAGACTTATTAGATCCCTGGGTGCTCCCCAGGTCTCTTGTCACACTAATTAGGACATCTAGCTGGTGTTGGTTGTCTTAAATGCATATTTATCCTTGTCCACAAGCATAATTATTTTTGGCCTTTTCCCCTCCCAACGTGTATAAGAAGACAGAAGCCAATTACAGGTAGAAATTTTATGAAATTTAAATTCCTAGAAACTCTGCAAATTTTGTTAAAAGCAGTGAAGTTTTTTAAAAAACTTATTGGGTGTTCATGGACACAGTTATTCATAGAATTACACCTCTCCCCACCTGGTTTGTACTTTCATAAGGCCCTGTCACACAAGGACTTTTGAAAACACAAAACTGCCACTGTCACCAGGAGTCACACACAGCACACGTGAGAGGGTAAAACACACGCCCCCTTTCCAGCATGCCAACGTAACATGCTCGGTGCATCCTGTTCTCCTGGTTGCCTGTTCCCTGGGTTAGGGACCGCTGTATACAGATGACCCCTATGGCTCGTTAGACATTCTGGAAAACGCAGTCCTGAAGCAAGACATAGGCCCAAACCTGTGTGACCCCCCACTTGACAGCAGTCATCACTAAGGTCGTTAATTTTAAAGATGCTGATGTCATGCCTAGAGTGGCAGCACGTATCAATGATGGAGCATTCAAATATTGACAATTATTAGGACTGACTGTGGCAAAGGTGCTTATGCTCTGAATAGCTGGATCATCTTAACAAAGGAAGCTCAAAATCACAAATAATTTATCATAAAAATTCTTAGTTTCATTATCACACTTTTACCAGGATTCCTAATTAGGCCCAAATCTTCTGGAGAAAAAGAAGCTTTTCTCAGCAGCATGCACATGTGCTCGTATGGGCCACAGTTATCACTTTGAATTGTGCTTTTTATGTTTAGATGAAAGAGGATGATTATTAAATTCTAAATGAATGGTGCTAATGGGAGCAGAGGGACAGTGGTGAAGTGTATGAGTAACTAAAACTCTAGAATGAATTGGGTTATTAACCCCTTACTTTCAGGCACATTCTAGAACAGCACTATCCAATAGAACTTTCTGCAGTGATGGAATTGTTCTATACATATCTAGTCAAATTATGTTTAATATACAGTAGCAATCAGTTACCTCTGGCCGTTGAACATGAGATGTGCCTAGTGTTACTAACTGAATTTCAATTAAATTAAATTTAAATTTAAATAGCCACAGGTGGCTAGTGACTACCAAATGGATCACTGTAGCTCTAAAATCAGAAAAAAAGACCTTTAAGGATTTAGTGGCACATTTGGAAAAATTGCCATAAAGTGAAATAGACTAATCCCCAAACCAGAATGAAAAATAATAATTTAATAAAATGTGAATTGAACCAAAGTTTGTGTGTGTGTATAATTTTTATTTTAAACATAAAACATAGACATTTTCTAAAACCACTGATGTGGGGGTACAACTAAAAGAACAAGGCGCTGATATGTCTCTCAGCTTTAGTGGATAACTTCTACACAAGCTTGGCACTCTCCCCTTGGGAGATAGGATTTAAAAAATATCATTCAACTTCCTGCAGTTAAGAAGGCAGGTGCATTGTTTTTGTAGTGTTGCTTCTAAGAGTGTTTCTCAGCTGATCAGCACTACTGAACGTGCCATCAGATACACATTGTGCTGCGCGGCTGAAGGACTTCATATGCAAGGTACCAAAGAAGAGTGTAACTGCTGTGTGCACACTAGAAAATGCACTGGCAGACACCTCTGCTATCTGCTTTCTCTATTCAGGCTCTCTTGTCAGTGTTGCTTCATACCTGTCAGCTTCTGGTTATTGGTGTCCAGGAGACCAGACATTCCACTCACTGTAGAAACAGACCTCGAGCCATACTTCATTTCTCAGTGGAGCACACAGATGAACCTAAGGTTCTCCATACCATTGTTACAAATAAAAATTTAAAGCTATCATAAAGAGAGGCAGGCACATTGACACTACAGTTGTTTTGTCTCAACATTTTAATGACCTCACAAAAAAAGAGCAAGTTCAGGGTGGTTATTGAATGTGGATGAGGTTAAGTTCTAGACAACATAAACCTAGGTGCAGCTTGTTACTTAGGTAACACTGCTTCCACATAGAGAAGCCTCAGTGATCACTCCCTCCTTTCCAGCAAACCGTCATCAGTGATGTGCTTTGTGTTGCTAGTCCTCCTCTAAGTAGCTTGTTCCCTGGGTGAGGTATTGCTGTATACCCAGGACCCCTGAGGTTCACGTACCAGAAATTCTGTAATAAGTGGTCTTGAAGCAAGAGATAGGCTTCAACCTGTCTGGCCTCTGGACCACATGTGCTATGTTCTACTTAATTCCAGCAGTAATCTAAGGCATAAAGTCTATCACATTTAGTACCTGTATTTGTGAAATGCCTACTATTAGAAGTGTCTTTGATGACGGGGGTCTTAAACACTAATGTATCAGTAAAGGTTCTTAGCTTGCAGGTAGGAAAAAAAAACCCTGACTCTGCCTATCTTAGTGCCAAAGGGAAGCCATTGGAAGGATTTTGAAATCTCTCAATGAATCAAAAAGGGAACAGAAGAGCCAGATAGTAGGATACCAGAAATCAGGGGCCTGTTCCAGGGACTACGGCGGGGGCCTTCCAGGGTCCAGCCAGCTTCAAAGACTCCTAGCTCTGCCTCTCCGGTCCGCGTGTCATGAGTCTAGGTGAGACACTGATGGGTCCAATCTGGGTCAGCAGCGTACCCCTAGACTATTCATCTATGGCTAGGGCAGGGGTAGGGGTGGATCCAGGTTTTGTGGGGACTAAAACTCATTGAATGTGCAGAGCCCCCTTTAAGAAAGAGAGAACACCACACACAATGACTGTAGCACTCCAAAGAAACCCGGGCAGAAGAAATCACAAATATCAAGTGCCTGTGGTCACTCCCCAAGAGGGGAAGTGAAACCGAAGGAAAGTTGAAGTGGGAAGAGCCTGTGGTCTTAAATGATTGTGATTGAAATGTCTTTCCTTTGCATATTTTATGAGAACATTTGACCATGTAAACACATGGTTAGGGCCTCTCCTAAGACTTGGGAGGGAACTTGTGCAAGTGAGGGGCACTGAAATTTAATCACCATTAGTTTCATGGAAGGGGCAATCTCTTTTTTAAAGATGGGGGCACCTGTGGTAACTGTAGGAAGAGAGAGTTTCTCCAAACAGGAAGGTGCTGGGAAGACAAAATGACAGATGACCACACCTTGACCCCTTCAACAGTCACCTGCAACTGCGGCTTCCTGAAGAACACTTTTTATACAGCACCAGACCTTTTGCCTCAAATCCCCAGGTGGTTTTCAATTCTGATGAGCTTACACCAGACTTCAAGGGGGCTACACTGACCTCTTAGGCCCAGACTAGAGCAAGCCTTCGTGGCCTGCACCCTCCTTCTTTCCATAGGTGCCATCCCATCTGGCATTGCCTGTGGTTTTAATGACTAAAACCATTTTGTGTTCCCCTTTTAGTCAAGGAAAAGAACAGTGGCTCTTTCTTTTGGAGAGGCAACGAGCCTAAAAGTCTGGATGAATCCTCTCTCAGGTGAGATTGTTGTTTGGAGTATGTTTTTAACTTGCTAACCAAAATTTATTTTACATTTCAATTTGTTCATTTTTTTAATGCTTTTTCTCTGCTAATAGCTTTGGATCAAATTCTGTTTTTATCATATATGTAATAATAAAGAAGGTATTTTGACAGAACTTGCTTTAAATTCAAATAGTAAATAGTAAAGTATAATTTTTCTCATTTAGTTAAATAGTAAATAGTAAAGTAAATAGTTAAATAGTAAAGTATAAATTTTCTCATTTTAACTGAATATATAGATGTCAAAGCAAATAACTGATTAAAAATAAATTAAGAAAACAGGGACTTCTGGCCAAGAGGGAGGTGTAGGTAGATACACTTTGCCTCTTCACAAAACTAAAAGAAGGAAAGCAACAAATTTTAAAACAAAAAATAAGCAGAACTGCCAGAAAGTCGAACTGTATGAAAGTCTGACAACCAAGAAATTAAAGAAGAAACATTCATTCAGATGGGTAGGAGGGGCAGAGACAGGAAGCCGGGGCAGAGAGGACGTGTGGCAAGATAGAGACTGGTGGACCAGGCAGTCCCACATTTGCATGCAATAAACCAGGAGCAAAACTGAGGAGTGAGACAGACTGTGCAACCCAGGGTCCCAGTGCAGGGAAATAAAGCCTCAAACCTCTGGCTGTAAAGACCTCTAGGGGTTGCAGCATTGGGGAGACTCCCAGCTCACAGGCAAGTACATTGGAGAGACCCACAGAGCCCTAGAACATACACAAACCCACCCACCTGGGAATCAGCACTAGAAGGGCTCAATTTGCTTGTGGGTAGCTGGGGAAGTGACTGAAAGCCTGCCAAGAGCCAAGCAAGCATCACTATTCCCTCTCAGACCCCCCCCGCCCACACATACAGCACCACAGCACAGCAAAGTTGGCTGGCCTGCTCTGGTGAACACCTAAGGCTCTGCCCTTACAATGTAACAAGTGTGCTGAGACAAAAAAAAATTGGCCCAAATGAAAGAACAGATCAAAGTTCCAAAAATAGAACTAGGTAATGAAGAGATAGCCAACCTATCACATGCAGAGTTCAAAACACTAGTAATCAGGATGCTCCCAGAAATGGTTGAGTATGGTCGCAAAATGGAGGAAAAAGTGATGTCTGTGCAAAGTGAAATAAAGGAAGACATACAGAGAACCAAGAACGAGGGAAGGAAACTGGGACTTAAATCAATGATTTGGAGCAAAAGGAAGAAATAAACATTCAACTAGAACAGAATGAAGAAACAAGAATTCAAAAAAATGAGGAGAGGCTTAGGAACCTCTGGGACAGCTTTAAACTTTGCAACATCCAAATCATAGATGTGCCAGAAGAAGAGGAAGAACAAGAAATGGAAAACTTCTTTGAAAAAGTAATGAAAGAGAATTTCCCCAATCTAACAAAGGAAATAGACTTCTAGGAAGTCCAGGAAGCTCAGAGTATCCCAAAAAAGGTGGACCCAAGGAAGCACATAACAAGGCACATCATAATTGCATTATCCAAGATAAAAGATAAGGAGAGAATCTTAAAAGCAGAAAGAGAAAAGGAGACAGTTACCTATAAAGGAGTCTCCATAAGACTATTAGCTGATTTCTCAAAAGAAACCTTGCAGGCAAGAAGGGGCTGGGAAGAAGTATTCAAAATCATGAAAGGCAAGGACCTACATCCAAGATTACTCTATCCAGCAAAGCTATTGTTCAGAATGGAAGGACAGATAAAGCGCTTCCAAGGTAAGGTCAAGTTAAAGGAGTTCATCATCACCAAGCAAGCCCTTTTATACAAAATATTAAAGGGACTTATTTAAGAAAAAGAAGATGATCAAAACTATGAACCATAAAATGACAACAAACTCACAACTATCAGCAACTGAACCCAAAAACATAAAAACAAAACAAACTAAGCAAACAACTAAAACAGGAACAGTATCACAGAAATGGAGATCTCATGGAGAGTTATCAGTGGGGAGAATGGGAGAAAAGTTACGGAAAATAAGTAGCATAGATGATAGGCAGAAAATAGAAAGGGGGAGATTAAGAATAGTATAGGAAATGTAGAAGCCAAAGAACTTATATGTATGACTCAGGGACATGAACTAAGGGCAGAGAATGTCGGTGGGAGGGGGGTACAGAGCAGAGGGGAATAAAAGGGAGAAAAAAAATGGGACAACTATAATAGCATAATCAATAAAACATACTTAAAATTTTTTTTTAAAAACCACATTTATTGAGCTCTGGTTCTGTGTGATGAATACAAAGATAAGTAAAGCATAGTTCCTATCTTTGAGAAGCTGATTCTAACCAGGATACATGATGTATGTATAAATAAAGATAATAGAAAGTATACATGCTGCATGTCATGAATAAGCTTGGGCAATTATCAAAGAGATTTAAAGAGGGAAAGGTTTATATTCAGTTCTGGGGAGAAGTCAAGATGCCAGATGACAGCTGGTGAAGAATATAGCAAATGGAGGTGGAGAGAATAGTAGAAGCTAAGAATGAGGCAGAAAAAAATGGACTATTTATTAGGAAAGTTAAACAGTCTAGTGTGATTTAAAAATACACAGGGGTCTTGGTGTGCATTCTGAGTTACCTATGATTTGCAATGCAAAACAGAACACTTACTAGTCAAGCCTGTCTCAGCCAGTAAGTGTTTCTGATGTTTTGGCTTCAAATATAATTAGAACCTCTGAAGCCTTGAGAACCCTGACAGGAACACAGAGACCATTTTTAAAAGCTAAAAATGGTAACTTGATATAAAGTTAGAGAGTAAAATTAGGCCCATATTTTGGAGGGTCTTAAAAATCCAGGTGAAGATTTTACATGTAATTTTATAAGTTATTAGAAAAACTATTGAAAGTTTTGAGTGGGAGAATATGATAAAAATCACTATCTCAGAAAATAATCTGACAGTTGCGCTTAAAATGGATCGAAGCAGGGAGAGACCAAAGATTGCTGGGAAGTAATGGGAATCGAATTGGGCTAGTGGTAGTAGAAATAAGAAAAAGGGAATAGATGGGAGAGATACTTCAGAGGTAGAATCCACAAGACTGTCATTGATTAAACATGAGAGAGGAGGGGAGAGAAACCCCTGTGGTTTCAAGCTCAGGTGACTGTGAGGTGATGCCTTTCAGAGAAATAAGGATGTCAGGAGGGATCAAGTCCAGTGCTGGTTTAGACAGGTTAAGCGTGAGGTCCTCCTCTGGTGGAGTTCATCTGGCAGCTAAATTTTTAGTCTGTACAGTGGGAAAGAAGCCCAGGTATAAATTTAAAAAGGAGTTTCCTGAGCTTCATAACTCAAAATATGATTCTATTACACACTTTTAAGTATTAGACATTAGAAGGAGGAGGGGAGCACAGGATTCTAAGAGCTGTGAGTCAAGAGATACACAGGCATGGGGAGATTAACCCATGGTGGGTTGGGGCCTGGAAAGACAGGTCACGGCAGGCAGAAAGAGCCACGTTAGGAAAACATTGCACAATGCTGTAAAGGAAAAGTGAACTCCAGCTGGGGAGTTCTCACAGACCTGTGGTGTACCACGCCGTGCAGTAACATGGGCTTTGTCCAGTGTATGTTCTCTCAGTCTCACCTTCTCTTGCTGTTTTATCAAGATGATCTACAAGGCCTCTTCTAAATCTAAATTTCATTACTATAACATCCTTTCTCACCAAACATTATTTTGGGTTTAGGAAGATTCTTTTTGCTACTGAGAACGCATCACCCAGAGATGCTTTACAGAATTTTAACTTTATAAGCAACTATCCTGGATAAGAAAATTGATGGAAGATGGTTACAGTAACTAACTTTCTTAAAGGTTTTTAGAGTTTAAGGAGTTAGCTTTTAAAAATGGTCTCTGTGTTCCTTTCAGGGTTCTCAAGGCTTCAGAGGTTGTGATTATATTTGAAGCCAAAACATCAGAAACACTTACTGGCTGAGACAGGCTTGACTAGTAAGTGTTCTGTGTTGCATTGCAAACCACAGATTAGCCCAGCATGCACACCAAGACCCCTGTGTAATGCAGGCATTGGGAAGGAGACCAATGGCCTGTATAACCGAATTCCTTCCACTAAGGTTTCTCAATGGGGTGGGACCATTCCTTGCTCTGCAGAACAGTCCCCCACACTTTGGCACTTGAAATTCTCTGGCTCTTGCCCACTACTGCCCAGTAGTGGGCTCTTTTGTCCACTAAAGGCCAGTAATGTTCCCCATTATTGTGGCAACTGAAACACAGCACCACACATTGTTGCTAGCTGACAACACACCCCTGCTGTTGCTAGCTGACAACACACTTGTAAAGTTCAGTGCATTTCCCCATCCTGCGCTCTTTCTCCCTTCTCTGTGCAATCCTCTCTCTAGCCTTCCCCAGTAGGCATCCTTGCTCTCCCTATAAAATCCTGCACTTGGGCTTTTATTGACACCACAGTGTGAGAACTTAATAACACAAATTTAAACTGGTCCCCCTGGTATTTCCCCATGGTATTTCCATTTTAACAGGCATCAAAGCCAGAAATGCAAGGAAAGCTCTGTTAATAGAATTTTGTTTTAACAGCTTTTTTTTGAGGTATAATTTACACACAATAAACTGCACTATTTAAAGCACACAATATGATACATTTTTTTCATATGTGTACGCCAATGAAACCATCACCACAACCAATCTCTTATCACCTGCTTCCTGCACCAGGACCTGGAAGCTTTTTTAAGTCAGTAACCCAGGGCAACTGTTAGTTCTCGCCTTTTCCCACCTCTCAGAGTTCAACTCTCTTAAGCTGTTTGATGTTCAGTGTCTTAAAAGCTGTTTTTTTTAATATATTTTTCAAGTTCTTGGTTGTTTCATGCGGGAGGTATATCTAGTCCTTATTATTCCATCTAAGCCTGAACTAGACGAAATCTAGTAGGATTTTAAGCTTATACCAGTATATATGGAAAAGGATTTGGACTGGTATTGGGTCCTTCCTGGAACCAGTGATGGTTCCAGAATTTCC